ATTATATGGCATGTGAATTATATCTTAATAAAGCTGCTATAAAATTCCAATTAAAAATAAAATGCACAAATAGAGAAAAATCAATGAATCTAAAGCTAACTTTTTAAAAAGATCAGTAAAATAAACTAGCTTAGAAGAATCAAGAAAAAAACCCCAAAGACATGAATTACCAGTATAGAAATCAAAGAAGCATACCACCATAGATTCTATATATACTAAAAAAATAATAAAGGGATATTTAAACACATTTACTGTAATAAATTTGACAACTTAGAAGAAACAGATCAAGTCCTTGTTAGCCAAAATTTACGAAACCAAAGCTGGCACACATACACAAAATTAAGTATCTGAATAGCCCTGTATCATTTGAATAAATGGAATTAATGACTGCAGTCTTCCCACAAAAAAATACCCTAGCTACAGATGCACTGACTGGTGAATTGTATCCAATGTTTGAGGAAGACATAATAGTTGTATCACAGAAAGTTTAAGAAAATAGAGGGACTACTCAACTCAGTATGAGTTCATCATTACCCTGATATCAAAAGTAAAGCTATTACAAGAAAAGAAAATTAAAACTGATCTCCCTCCTGAGCCTAGTCAGAAAAGCTCCTAATAAAATATTATCAAATCAAAATGAGCAACATATAAAAAGGATAATGCATCATGACCAAGGGGGATTTATCCCAGTAAAGGAAGGTTGGTCTAACCTTTGGAAAATAAACCAGACTGAAAAAGAAAGTCCACATGGTTCTCTACATGGATTCAGAAAGAGCACTTGATAAAATTTATCCCCTACTCATGAACAACAACAACAAAAATTCTCAGCAAATTAGGCATAGAAAGGAATTTCCTTAAACTTGCTGAGAGCCATTAAAGAAGATTTAAGTAAGATGAGAGATGTACCAGTCATGGAAGGCTCAGAATTATTAAGGTACCAGATCTCTCTACATTAGAATATAGATTCAATGAAATCTCAATCAAAATCCCAGAAATCCTTTTTGTAGAAATTGACAAGTTGATTCTAAAATTTTTATAGGAATACAAATAACCTAAAACAGCCAGAACAAATTTTTTAAAAAAGAACAAAGTTGGAGTGCTTACATTTTCTGACTTAAAGACTTACCAAAAATTACAGCTATTAGGACAGTGTGGTATTAATATAATGAAAGACAAATAGATCAGTGGGACAAAATAGAGAGTTCAACAATAGATCCACACATATATGGTTAATAAATTTTTGACCAAGGTACCAAGTCTAGGGAAATAGATGGTCTTTTTAACAAATGGTGCTAGGGTAGTTGGATTATAACTTATTAACCTTATAAAGGAAATGTAATAGAGGAAAATACAGAAGAAAAATTTTGCAACTTTTATGAGGGAAAAGATATATTAGGACATAGAAAGCACTAACCATACAAGAAATATCAATAAAATAGACTTAAAAATTATAAAATAGACTTTAAAATAATAAAATTCTGCTCCTTGAAAGATACAACTAAGAAAATGAAGTCAGTCCTCAACTGGAAGAAAATATTTGCAACACATATATCTGACAAAGGGCTTGAAACCAGATAATATAAAGTACCTTTACAATTCAATAAGAAGACAAAGAATCTGATTTTCAAAAGGGCAAAAGATTTGAATAGACACTTTGTACTAATTACCAAAGGAGATAGAAGAATAGCTAATTAGCACATAAAAAGAAGCTCAACATTAGTAGTCACCAGGGAAATGCAAATTAAAATCACAATGAGAACCAATACACACCCACTAGAACAGCTAAAATTAAACATTAAAAATCCAACTATTCCGGAGGATATGAAGCAATTTCAACTTTCAGACACTGCTGGTGGGGGTATAAAATGGTACAACCACTTTGGAGACCCATTTGGTTGTTTCTTATGAAAGCTGTTACTTACCATAAGACCTAGCAGTTCCATTATTTATTCAAGGGGGAAGAAAGCAAATGTCCACCAAAAAAGGCATGTACATTAATGTTCATAGAAATTTTATTCATAATAGCCACAAAATGGAAACAACACAAATACCCATTAACAGGTGAATGAATGGATAAATACATTTGGTATATCTATACAATGGAAAATATTTCAGCAAAACAAAAAATGCTCTATCGATACATACAGTAAGATGGATGAATTTTAATGTGTTAAAACATATATCACAGTGTTTGATCCATTCATGTGAAATTCCACAGCAAGCAAAACTATAGTGACAGAACACAAATTTATTGTTGCTTGGAGCTGAAGGCAAGAATCAGTACAAACTGAACAACTAATCTTTGGGCAGTAATGGAAATGTTCTGTATCTTGATTTTCATCATGGTCAGATGGATGTAAACTTTTGTCATACTTAGTGAACTATATAGTCAGTTCTTCAACAATGCTTGTGTTTGAAAATGCAAACTTGTTCCAACACAATGGTAAAAATTTTAATATTAACTTGACTTTTGATTTCACATGTGATTACATCCACTAAAAATACTAGATGAATACAGAAAACTACACCCAACTGAAATGAGCCATGTATATCACACCATTTGTGCTATTTCATATTTCACTTCAAATTGTTATAAACCCCACCACACACTGTTATTACATTTGCTTTTAAAAAGGTTATTTTTTAAAGAAATGATAAAAATTAGGAAAGCATTTTTGTATTTTTCCACATATTTACCATTTCTGGCATTCTTCATTTGTATGGAAGTGGGTTTGTACTGATAGCAGTTTTCGTCCTCTAGGACTTCCTTTAACATTTCTTGTAATTCAGGTCTGCTGAAAATAAATTCACTGTGCTTCTATTTGTCAAAAAATCATCTTTATGTTGTTCTCATTTTTGAAGGTTATTTTCACTTAACAGAATCCTAAGTTAACTTTTTTTTAAGCATGTTAAAGTTATCATTCCATTCCTTGTCTGCCTTGCATTATTTCTGACAAGAAATCATCAGTAACTCTTATCTTGGCACTCCTGTATTTAATGTTTCTTTTTCCTCTGGCTGCTTTTAAGAGTTTTACTTTACCATTGGTTCTCAACAAACTGAATATAATATGCCTTAGAATAGTTTTCCTTTCAATTATCCAACTTGGAATTTGTTTTCTTAGATTTAGAAATCATAATTTTTATCCTGTTTGTTAAAAATTAAGCCATTATTCCTTCAAATATATTTTCAGGCTCCTCTCGCCTGCCCTTTTCAGGTACTCCAATTATCCATGTTAGATCACTTTGAATATTTCTCAGTAACTAAGGATCTGGCCTTTTAATTACTATTGTTATTTTCATTCTGTACCTCAATTTGTATAGTTTCTATTGCAGTATCTTCAAGTTCACACTTCTTTTCTTCTGTGGTGGCTAATCAGCTAAACCCATAGGTGAATTTTCCATTCAGATATTGCATTTCTAAATTGCATTGCAGCCCTGAAGTTCCCTTTGTCTTTTTTTGAATATCTTCCATTTCTCTCCTCATTATGCTCATGTGTTCCATTGTATTCATGAACATATTTACTACAGTTGTTTTTAAAGCCCTTATCGGATACTTCATTCATCTCCATAACTTTGGAGTCAGTCTCTATTGATTTATTTTTTTCATTTTCCTGCTTATTTGCATGTCATAATTTTTATTGGGTACCAAACACCATAAACGCTGTGTTCTTAAAATTCTGTATTTTGCTTCTGCATTCAAAGAGTGTTGAATTTGACTGGCAGTTAAGTTACTAGCCAATCAGTCTGATCCTTTGAGATTGTTTTTAATTTGTCATTGGTGGTCCAGAGTAGCCTTTACTCTAGAGCTCTTTTACCCCAATTCGAAGGTACAACCCTGGGCTATCTACTGAATGCCCACGATTTTCAATAAGGTCCTGCCACTCTGGTTGTCAAAACTCAAATGTCTCTCAGCTACATGTAACTTCCGGGAATTGTTCAACTTACAGTTCCTCAGTAAGTCCTTTTAGTCTAGCCTTGTGGCATTTCACTCGATGCGTGTGCACTTTAGCACACAGGGAAAGTCTCCGTGAAACCCTCCTGCAGATTCCTGGAGCTTCTAGGCACAGCTCTTCTATCTCTGGTGCCATGCCTCACAAACTGAAGCTGCCACAGCCTTCCCCAAATCTGGTCTCAGTGTCTTCTATTCAGAGACTGCCATGCTTCCCTTGGTTTCCCTTTTCCTATGCAGGGTCTAGAAAGTGACACCAGGCAGAATGCTGAGGCTTTCGCATGACTCTTTTTCCCCCATCCATTCAGAGAGTACAGTCCTGTACTGCATGTTCTCCAGTGTCAGAACAGAGTTGCTTCATATATTTTGTCCAGTTTTCTAGGTGTTCACAGGTAGAGGGCAAGTCTGGTATATGTTATTCCGTTATGAGCAGAAAAGGAAAGCTAGAATTTTTTTTGTAATCTAGTTTGAGCTATTTACGTGTTGAGGCTCACGGATTGTTCTAGTATTTATAACAACAGCAGCTGACTGGACCTTAACTTTATAAAGTAATTCATTTATATTACCTGATTAGTCTTCACAACACTCTTGAGTTAATAAAGGTGACCTTTCTTATGATTATGCTACAGCCAAAAAGATTGAGGCTCACAAGGCAAGTGAATGCTCAAAGTAACATATTTAGTAAGGGTTGAAGCTGAGAATATGACATTAGCATAATCTACTACTGCTAAAACTTATCTCCTGGTTTCATCTATAACACTAAACTCTTATTTTTCACCTCCTTCCTTCTTTATTCCCCTCAGGTTTTAATTGTCTTTTATCTTAGGTTTTAATCATCAGCTTTATCATCTTAGTATGGCCAAAATTTTAGAAGCAGCAACTCATTTTTAAATTGCCACTCTGAAAAATGCTACTTGTAATTCACTACCATAAATTACTTTTAATTTTAATTTCAAGTGACAAGCTATAATCAATACGTATCATACCATAACCAATACCAAATAGACCAGATATGCCTTTAAAGGTCCCCCAACCCCCAAAACTGTCAGCATTCATGTGTAACCCTGTGTCTTTATCATCTTTCCTCCTCTTTCAAATCATTTTCTCTAACTTACTTTGACCTATGAAGCTGCAGCAAACTCCTCAGAATTTTTCCGGGCCCCAAATGAAAAAAAAATCAATTAAATACTAAAATAGAAAGGAAAACAAAATTTTTTAAACTAAACAAGAATCAAGTAAAAGTAAGCCAGCTCCTTAGTTAGCATGACTAAGGAATAGATTGAAATGATCCCTTTCTAAGAATGAGTCACATTTCTGTCTGTCTTACACAGGGCCAACTAACAATGGCAATACTTGAGAAAATGTTAAGACTCAGCTGATTACCTCACACCTTGAGGTACAGGATGAAAAGAGTGTTTTAATTTTCCATCACACTTTTGTTCAACAGGGTGACTACGTGGCAGACTATATTGAGGAGAAAAAATCTGAGACCACACAGAAATCAGCAGCAAAGCATTCTGTGAGTCACACCATCTGTCATAATCTGCCTGGTTGGAAATGGGGGATGACAGAGTGTGAACCATGAATCTGTAGTCTCCGATCTAGGTTAAGAATAGTAATACTTGAAATTGCATAATACATCAGAAACAGTAATTTTAAAACCTTATACACCCAACTTTACCGAACACAGGACTTAGATATAGAGTGGGTAATGTTCAAAACCAGGGTCTAGAGTCTGACGGAGGGCACTTTATTATATAGGATAATCCAAACAAAATTAATCCCTCCCCCAGAAGATAGTAACTTGTTAGAGTCAGAAAATAATTGATTTCTTCCATTTCTTTTAATCTTTTTTAACAAAAAAGTTATTTTATAAATCCCATAAAACTCTAGATCACCATATAATTTTTTTTTTTGAACAGGAATAAAACAGAGGCTTTTAATACAAACAGCAGTTAAGACACATGGGGCTGGGAGGCCTAAGAGGACACGGGCAGGTGAGCCAGGAAGATGGTGACCCTGGGAGGAAAGAAGGCACAGGGCTTCTCCTGGGAAAACTATCTGACCCTTGTGGCTCCCACTCCAGTCTCTGCCCAGACCAGTGGCCAAGATCCAAGAGACAAGCCCCTGTATTGTGTTTCTCAGGTGCTCCCTTTTCCCAAAGGGTATGTGGGCCCAGATGCAGGGAGGGGATAGTGGAGAAGGGCAGGCCTGGGCTGGGGCAGGGGAGAGCCTGCAAGAGCCAGACCTGGAAATAGCCCTAGAAGAAAACTCAGGAACTGACATGCCAACACCCCCTCACTCCTAGGACAGGTCTGCCCAACCAGGCTTCCGCCCAATCTAAGAGCCAACTGTAACCAGTAGAGAGTGATATCCTAAATTCTGTCTCCCTCATTAATGGGATTTTTACTCTTCAAAAATTACTGGACAATGTCACACTCAGAAAAATGGTGAAAATGAAAAAGATAAACCAATTATTGGCGAGGATATGATTTAGTTGGAATTCTTATATATACTGTTGGAAGTTATATTGGTACAACTACTTCAGAAAATTGCAAAGCATTATCTACTAAATATGAACATATACCTAACATGATCCAGCAGTTTCACTCTTAGGTGTATATCTAACAGAATGCATATATATGTTCACCAAAAGAAATGAAAAAGAATGTTAATAAGTAACATTACTTGTAATAGCCCTAAAACTTCACCAGAAGACATGTATAAGAATATTCATAACAGCATTATTTGTAAAACTCCAAGCTGTAAAGGATCCACAAGTCCATCAACAGTAGAATGGATAAATCATGGTACATTCACACAATGGAATATTAAACAGCAATGAGACTGAACAAAATACAAATATACTCAATACAGATGAATTTCATAAACATATTGAATGAACCTGGACCTCAGCCCAAAAATACATATAGTAATTATTATTCCATTAGATAAAGTTTAAAAACAAGAATAACAAATATATGGCCTTAGAAGTCATGGTAGTGGTTACTTGAATGGGAGCAGTTTTCAAGGAGGGAACAACGGGGTTCCTGAAGTGTTGGTATTATCTACTTTTTGATCCATACACGAGGTACATGCTCACTTTGGGAAAATTCATCAGGCTGAATTCCTATTTCTGAATTTATGCTGTAAGTCAATAAAAGATGTTGGGCAACACCAACAATGTACAGCTACGCCACAGAGCTAGAACCTGAATCCTCAGCTTGTCTCTAGGGTCCGTGCTCTTAGTCACGATACTATTTTAGCAACTACCTTAAAGCACTACTTGCTCATACTATCTATTTTTAAATATGAAAAACTTACACATGCCAACAGGCAGTTAACTGTGTAAATGCAGGAACATAACTTGTACAAGCATAGATGATCCATACGGGGCCACCAGGGAGGCTGAGTGAGAATCACAGAAGTTTCGTTCTGATGGAATCTTTTTACCATAGGAATCTGTTCATGTCTTTCTATTTATGGTTAATAAAATGAAATTGACATTTCTCCTCTCCAAAACAATAAATGGGCAACATTATTTTTGCATTCAAAGTATATTTGCTATGTATGTAAAAATACTTTTAGAGTAATAAAGTAATTACTTTTAGTTCAAAGAAATAGTTATTGATTTATAGAAATCATAGTTGGAGATATTTAATAAATATTCAAGGAATTAGTGACTCTTAGAGATTTGTTGACGCTCCTACCATTGCTACTAATTCCTCCTAGCCATTCATCAGAGGTAGTGACCTGGCATAGTGGGCATCTATTGGTCTTGCCTGCCTAGCACCCTTCTTTTGGTAAAGGTGTTTCAATATTGCTCTGGGCAATTTCTTCTACCCTACTGCATGCAATTCTGGTGAGATGATCAATTCTGCCTTCTCCTAACCAAGGAGTAGACGTGTAGACTAAACTAGACCAAGCAGACTCTCTCTTCTTAAAATTTAAATCTTGAGTGGAGTGACAGAGGGTCAAACAACAGAGCTGATTCACTTTGACAACAGCTCTCTAAGGAAGCTGCCCACTGGTTCCTGCTGCTTAGATCTCTTAAGCTGGGTGCATCCTATCCAATCAAGTACTAGTTTGTTTAACTTTTCCTTAGATTCTGTGAATCATTCTATATACTTATATTACATTTCCTCTTTAGTTAATTTCTGTTAACTGTACCTGAGGGAACACTGACACACCTGGATGTAAATACATTCAATAAAGTCACTACAACTTTGCAAGAGTCCATAGCATAATGTTGGTAATTGCTAAGGCTGAGTGGTTAATAAATGCAAGTTCTTTTTTTCTATATATTTGAAAAATTCTATAATGAAAGTTAAAACAGAAACGAATTTAACTCTAAAAATGATTACAGAGTGACAACTAAAGCGACCTCTGTAACATGCCCAAAACAGAAAAAGAAAAAAAAAAACCAAATAAACAGAGCTCCAAGGACTATAAAGAGAACAAGTATTTACCAGTAAGCACACATTTATGAAAGGTTTTACTGCCACCTACTGGACACTGTGATTAACGACTTGCTATTAAACAATCATTGTATAGGTGTCCCCATCTCACCTCAAGCACTTTGTCTTTAACAAGATAATGCTAAGTAATACCATTAATTTTATGTTTACATGTATGTTTATATTAGTAAATGTTATAGCACATCATTTCTAACAACATGAAATGCCACCTAAAAAAGGTATATCACAAAATTTTTGTTAGAAAGTACACTGGTGATTATCTTATGATGTCCTTGTTTTATAGAAGATCTCAGATTTTGAATTATTTTCCCAAAGGAATTTACACTGTTTACTCATAGGGATAGACCAGAAAGCTAGAAACCAGTCCTGGCTCTTAAATTCAGTGCATTATTTTTCTCCACCTCAGCCTTTTAAAATCTTGACTTTTACTACAAATTTTCATCTTTTATAACTTGGCTAACTGCATATACCAGTGATTCTCAACCCTGCTGCATCAGAATTATCAGTTGAATTTTAAATTAAAATAAATTGATGTTGATACCAAAGATTTTTTAATCACGGCTTAAAAGATCCATTTGTAAATACCAGCAGTTCTCAGTGTGGTCCCTGGACCAGCAATATCATCATCATCTGGGAGCAAAACTGAACAGGGTCCTGTGCGGCCCTCCCAAGTACAGATGCTTTTCTGTGTCCCCCATTTCTTGTCTGCTGAAGAAATGAAGTTTTCAGACTCCTAGACCTTCTCTGAGTTCCAAAGGGCATATTCAAACAGTTATTAACTAGAAGAGTGAGGGAATGTAGAAACAAAGGAAAGGTAGTCAAGAAACAATAGTGCAGAAGTGGGGCAGGGTCCTGGTTCCTCCTCAAGGGATACACCTAACAATCTGATAGTTATTCCACAGGAACTAAGGCCCCAGTACAGGTGGAGGACAGCAACTTCAGGCTGAGCATAAGCAGGTGGACAGACCCCAGATTGGTTGGAACTGGAAGGCTGATGGTTGAAGTTCCTGGGACATCACCCTGTTACCTCACCATCAACCAATCAGAGAAAGGTCACACATCCTGCAGTCCCCCCCGCCCCCCAAAGTTTTGCCTATTCAAACACCTCTCAGAACACAATCAGAAAATTTGGGCTTTTGAAGTACTAGCTGCCTGTTCTCCTTGCTCAGCCCTTACAAATCAACCCTTCTCTGCTCCAAACTCTGAAATTTCAGTTTGTCTGGTCTCACTGCGTGTCGTTGGGCACACAAACTTGGGTTTAGCAATGGAACTTGCTAGAAATGTAAATCTGCAACTTTTTTTCCAGATTGCTAACTGGAACCCAGCAATTTGTGCTTGCAAGCCCTCTAGGTGATTTCAATGCAGGCTAACGTTTGAGAATCACGAGTATTTTAATATATATTTTTAAACTTTTTACTTTTTAACTCTAAGATTTTAATTTATTGTTTTCTAAGAAAGAATAAAATACATTAATAATACAAAAGAGAAAGAGATTTACATGAAGAGTAACCTAGTGCAATTCTCCTATTTTTCCAGAAGCATACTATTAGGCACACTCAACATTAGTTCTAGTCAGCCAATAGGAAAAATGCTCTAATGGGAGGTTAGGGAATAATTTATTCATAGACCAGTTAATAAGACCCTGGAATGTTCCTGCCCAGAGCAAGTTTTCCAACCATATTTCCTTGTTCTGGTTTGTTCTGCTCAAAAAGACACCTTTCTAAGACATAATTTATACCTTTGGCCACATCATACCTTTTAACTCAGGAATGTCACTTGTAGAAATCGAGAGGAAAACAAATTATGCTCAAGTATTTTCTCCAAAGCATGGTAAATAACAAAGGCAGAGTGGAACCTGAAAACAAGTTAAATGCCCAACAACTGGGAAATAATTTCATAAATTAGAGCATCAACAGGATGAAATATTGCTCAGCCATTAAAATAATGCTTTTCATATGAGATTTTAAATAATATACGGAAATGCTTACTTTATAACATCATGTGTGTGCATGTTCTCTCTGTTTCTCTGTATCTCTCTCTGTCTCTGTCTGTCAATTGAAAAAAGATAATGGAAAATACCAAAACATTAATACTGGTTATCTGAGCAATAGGATTCTGAGTGATTTACTTTTTTATATTTATTAGTGTTTCTAAACTTTTTAGTAAGATTATACTTATTCTATTAATCGGAAGAAAATCTATGAACACAGTAAGTTTCTACTCTTTGAATTAGGATCTTTAAATAACGATTAATCAGTGCACTTTCAGAAGACTGAAACTGTGGGAAACAAGTAGATACTTTTTCTGCTCTTTTCTCATCCCATTCCTCCAACCCTTTTATTTCTACTTTCTTGACATCAAGTTATGCCAGAACCCCATAACTAGACATACCAAGAAACTGAAGTGTAATTATTCAGTATTTAAAATTTTTTAAACTGTTCAGTTCAACAGTTTAATTTATCTTAGAATATATAAAAAGGAGGTAAAATAGCCTAATGATTAAGAGACGAGGCTTTAAAAATCAGACAAATGTAGGTTTGAATCTTAGTTTGCCATTTAAGGGACCTCACACAAGTTTCAATTTCCTTATCTATAAAATGGGAGTACCACCCTCCTCATTGAATCCTTGTGAGGATGAAATTAAAGGATGCATATGAAGCATAAGACAGTGGTAGACACTCACTAGAAGGTAACTGAGGTTACTGCTTTGTAGTTAATGTTACAGTGGTTTTTAGTAAATAGTTTTGAATTTTAATTTTCCTGTGGGGAAAAAAGCTTAGTGGAGTACAATGGTTATTTGCAGTCATTTAGACTTCTCAGACCATTAAAATTTCATAAACAATTGAGAGACCTACATGGAGCCATCAAAATATCTTTATAAAGTTTTATTAAAATCTACCAACAAATTTATCAGCACTATTATTTCATACAAGAAAAAGCCCTTGAACACCCCCAAAAAAGTGGAAGAAGTCTCAGAGTAATGGAAATCATTCCCAAGAAAGGACAGTGGGCAACTGCATGCCAAAATTATCCTTACTTTTTTCATTTTGTCACATACCAGTGAACACTTAAGGACCAACACCAGATTGCAAACTGGCACTTGAACTTAGCCTGATTCTTCATCAATAATTTAAGCTATTTATCTATCTCATTGGATATTCATTCAGCAAACACTGACAAGTTGTTATTAAGCAGAGGAATTCAGGATCAAATGAAGTATACGAAATCACTATACACAGTGCCTTGTGCAAAGCACCATTAAAATATACACTATTGCTATTACAAAAAATATAAATACTATTAATTGATTCCTAAGAGAAAAACAAGATTTCCCACCCACCGGTTTTAATGACTTAGTCATTTTCTATGTTCGTGCTATCACAAACGACATGTAGAATTTTTTAGAGTGAACATTTTCCACATTTTTCTTTAGAAAATAGTCATACTTGTGACGTAGCTCATGATTCCTGCTATTCTCTGTCTTATGGGAATTGAGGATGTTACTTTTCCTCAGATGGTATGGCTCTCAAGGGAAAGTTATTAAGCTAGAAATTGCTGCTATAATTATCAGCATGTAGAATCTGAATTCTACGAAGAAAATTTAACAGGATCTAAAAGGTAGGTTCAGACAAAGTAAATTTTATTTTCTTATTTTTGAAAGCACTGTAAGATTTCCCAGTGTTAAAATTCACTTTCAAGTATGATGATCAAGAAATAACAAGACACCAAACATAGAAATTATAGTTTTATAATTTTCTTTGTTGCTTCTTGATCCACTGAAAATAATTTCACAATGCAACACATTTAGGCAGCTTATGTGTTACTTTCTTTGGTTTCTACTTCTCTAGGCAACAACGGCTCGATCTTTAGTAACAAACCTTCACTTGTTGAACTTCGAAGGAAAGCACGTACCACAAAGGGTCCTGAAAACAAAGAATCAATTTTCATTTTATTTGACAGAGATACCTAATCAGCAAATGCAAACATACAACAAGAAACTATAAGGTCTCATATATTTTCACTTGAAGAGTACTCATATAACTGAACTATTATTTTGAATTGTAACAAATGGAAGACCATTTAATTCCTAGAGTAGACGACAAACAAGCTGTACTCTAGAATATTAGAGATTTATCACTGAAACTACACGTATTTAGTAATAATTCATTGCTCTCTTCCAGAAGGTGATCACCTAAAATTTATTTTATTGCCAAGTCAACAGTTAACGGAGCAGGTGGTGATATTTACATTTGGTGACAAGATGCTAAATATTTATTTAAAACAGCCAGCACAGATGCTACCTCTGTGTTACCAAACACTTAGTAAAATTCCTTAAAAATTAAAAGGCTTTTCATGAGAACAGTGTTAAGGGACCTCATTAAAAATGGCAGAGAGTGGGGGGGGAGGGTAGAGTACATGCTTAGCATGCATGAGGTCTTGGGTTCAATCCCCAGCACTTCCATTTAAAAAAAAAAAAGATAAGTGGGAAAGAGAGGATAACTAAATTGCTTGTAGAGATTTACTGTCCATCATTCTACTCCTGCTATAGGCTCAGAGGATCCTATGCTGCAATCAAAGTTCTCCATAAAATTTAAGAATCCATACACGTATAATCACTAATATTATGGTCATATCTAGGCAAGATATGGCAAAAAGATATAACAAATGAGGTGCTTATTCACCAGTGTGTTTAACTCCAAAAGAAGGTTAAAAATAGCTTATAGCTTAAGGCTGTGTTTTAATTATATACTTGGATTATAAAACTAAACATGACTGATCCCTATCCTATAATGGCAAACCTGTAAGTGCACAGTCAGTTCAGGGTAATGGACCCTTGTGTGGCTTCAACCAGCCACGAGAGAACACGTTTGCCTGAGGAAGGCCTGTGCGTGGCAGGTAATGCAGTGGGTACTAGACGTGTTCCTGGCCTGACCCAGCTTCCACATCTTGACCAAGTTTCACTGTTCTCTGTGAATTACTCAGTTTATAAAGAGTGATTCTCATGACATGATGAAAAACCTTGTTTCCTTTCTAAAATAAGTAAGGGTAAAGAAGCCAATCACTAGTACCAGTGACAAAGTAAATGGTCTGGCTTCAAAACAGCATTTATCTCACAAATGATTTTAGCTTCTACTTAAATACCACTGTAAGTTTAAGGCAATCAGTTACAGTTTTCTTTCAGACTTTATGACATTTAATGGTAGAAATAATGTGGGAATTTACAAAGGCTTTAGGATGCATTCCTTATTAATGTTAAAGAGCTCTCCTGTTAATTAGGAATCCTTTGGAGAAATAAATTTTATTTCTTTAATCCCTGGAAATTTCATTGTTACTGTAGTTGCATGTTAACTGGATAGTTTTCTTAATATTTTACATTTTTCACGTATCACAGGGCTATAGGGAAGCCTACCCCAGCGAACCACGTACCCAGATTCAGTGGTCTTTGCCTACAAACTTCATTGATAACTGCTTGCAGATTGGCAGCTATCTGGTCACTTGACATATCCAGCTGAAAGAAAAGGATTTACAACATTAATGATGTTCAAGAGGATGATATTACAATTTCTGGTAGCTGTATCAGTACTTATTCCAGGCAGGTTTTTTTTTTTCAAATATTCAACTAAAGCACATCATCTATTAAGAGACTCCACTGTGAAAGAAAAAAACTTCAATTACTCTTCTTTTAGAATGCTACATTTACATGTCTTTACATGTCAAGACTTAATGACCTTTTAGAACATATAGAAAAGTGTTTTGAAGTTGTTCTACTTGAAAGTCAAGGATTTCCCCAAAGCACATCCTGGGGCAGAATACACCCTACCTGCACCCTCCCCACATCATCACCCCCAAGGAATTCATAATATTTTCCCTTGAAGTTATTTGTTGATTTATTTTTTAAAAGAAACTAAGAAAATGTTTAGAAGTTACCGCTTTCCCAAGTCCAAAATAAAACTACTTGACTACACACATTCAGCTAACACGTCTCACAGACATTTTCAAGATGTTAACGCTAACACTCTAACTCTGTAATAACAATTATCCTGCTACTTAGTGAAAACCACAGTAAGTAAATACATAGTGAATGAACCCCATTCATAAAACTCCCAAACCCAGCACACATCTTTGGAAAGGTCTTGTGCTTATCTTTCAAATTCAATGCATGTTATTCTTAAATATATCAGCTAAAATCAGTTGTATTACATTCCAATGTTTAGAGGATTCTGCACTTTGCCAAATGAATCAATTTTTAAAAATTCACATAAAACTTATAACAGTGTTACTGACAAAAATTACACAGTAAAAGTTCAAGTTCAAACAAGAATTCTATTTTCCAATGACTCTTGAGACCACAGTAAGAAATGTGGTGCATAAGCATAAAGAGAATTTCTCCTACAAAAACCTGTGCTCATCATCAGACAGCATGTATTCGACTCTCGCTTGGGCATGATGCAATACCAAACCCTAAATGAGACGGTGTGGATGTTACTTGAGGAATTTTTACTTTATGCCAATCCACAAGTAGGAGTTTTCAAAGGAAAAATCAGTAAAGAAAGAAATGTTTAGTTCGTCTTATTAAATCCACAGACCTTACAGACTTTAATTTGCACTGAAGCAAGTGGTTCACCGTACATGGACAAGGCACCTAACATTTGCTATGTTAAAAAGGAAAATAAACAAAAGAAAACAAAACACTAAGAGTACCAATCAACATGTGTCCTTTCATTCCTTTCTTAATTTTCCACTTTACTTCAAAATGTCCTTCTTTCTATTATCAACTGAAGTAACCACCACAACTCTAGGGAGTTCCTTTACCCTTTGTTAAAGACCTATACCCACCTTAAATTTGGGGAGGCAATAGATACAAGAAAAAGCAAGATGTCCAATGTATCTTTTTTAATAGTTACAAGCTATACTGTTAGAATGTACATACTAAACATCTCAGATTTTTGTAACTATCTTTTCTGCAGACTTACACTGCCAGTCCTACAGTAAGCTAACATATGCTTTAGAAATGACAAACAAATGTCTTCAATGATCTCATTAAGTTTTAAAATAAATTGTTTTAAAAAATAGTTTACACGTCTGTCCAAATTTTAGCACCTCTGTGTCCTCTACTGAATCTTAAAATATATTTATAGCCATAATACCTCATTTTACTTTCCCTTTTAGATATTATGTAAAATTATGAAAAAGTTTAATATTTTATGGGCATAACTGTAATTACACAATTGGCTACTGATGACAAGATAGCTATGTACAAAAAAATGTATGCATGTATGTATGCATTTTATCAAAACTTGCATAGGAAATTTACTTGGGCCAAAAGTGATCTAGCAATAATTCGGGAAAGCAACATTTATAAGCTTCTCTACCTGTATCTCAGCTGCTCTGCTCTTCCAACAGTGCTTTTCCATGCCATAATATTTTATGGTCTCACAAAGGTCGGAAGGACCATCTGTGGCTACACTGTCTTTTAGATTCTCAACAGCAGAGCATAAGACTTTGTAAAGCAGGGAAAAACATTTGGGGGGAGGGAATGGGTTAACCTTGAAGGGGATACTGAACTAAAACACTATTTGTGTATACACTCATATGTATATTTGAATATGTAACAGTCACAATACTATCTAAATTTAGCTACAGTGATTGTCCACTGCAGGGCAAAATAGTTACTCCCTGTTCTGTAGTATAAATGTTTTTTAAGACTGACATACTGAATCCTCCCTTCTGCTTAACATTCTTATTATGTCAAAAATAATTCCCTAAGCAGACTAGATGGAAGACTTCCGAAAGATGTCAGGGTGTGGCTCAGTGGATACAGAACTCTCTTTGCTTTAACTCAGATTTTCCTCTTTCCACGAATTCTCTTTCAAAGATTCCTAATCTTTGTCTTCAATCACTTTCTATCATTATGAGAAAACTTAAAAAACAGTGGTTCTTAACCACTTCTTGTCCCTTTCAGATGTGGACATAAGCAAGACAAACCGTTACCATGAGAGTGTCTAAGACAGTGATTCTTAAACCTTTTTCAGGTTATCAAACCTCATTCTAGAAAAATGCACACAGGCACACAAAAATTTTAGCCTACGCTTTTAGGGTCTTCAAGAATTCTTAGATCTTTTAAAAGAAGGGGAAGAGAGAAGAAGGGCTCCTGATGAAAGAGTCCCAGTTAAAAGAGATTCCCGGGCCACACTGTGAGAACCATCAGTGTTGATGTAAGTCTGCTCAAATACTTCGAAGGACTAAGGACAGCAGTGCGGAAAAAGGATTCAACTTAACTGTGTACATTTTACAGAGGACAGAACTAAAAAAGAAAAGCAAAGTATGTGTGTGTAATTTTTAAACAATCACATGTTCCTCCTACAGTGGCCAGCTTCTGTCACTATACATGTTCTAACAGCCTCTAGATGACTGCTTATCTCTAACTGGAAACTGCAGAGAGAAATGCTGCTTTGGATAAGCACTTGTTAGAACATCTGACCTCCAAAATCTCTTCCAAATGCAGTGTTCTTAGAGTATATAAAGGGTGGTCTGACATATGGTTTCTACATATGGGCCAATACTCCTAATTCCCTTGACCCCTAACAGTTTAAACCAAGAAAAGGAAGACAGTCTCGTAACAATGGCAATAATAATAGACTGAGCAGCTCTATTATTGGGCACTTACTCTAAGCCAAACTCTGTTCTAAGCATTACAAGGACATTCTCATTCATTTTTCCCAAGCATCCTGAAGATGGGTACCATTACCATTCCTCTATTACAATTAGAAACTGAGAACTTAGAAAACTTTGTAACTTATTCAAAAGCACACATATGGTAAGGAGTGGCCCAGGAGCTATGTGAAGGAGCTCTAAAAGCAGAGAAATGTGACTTTGAACTCCATTTCCACCACTTACTAGCTTGTGACTCTGGACATGGCCGGTAAGTGTTGGTAATCCTTATGAAAACTGAAGTTATCAGTTGTCTGGAATATATAAACAAGTTTGTTATAAACTAAGGGAAGAAAAAGAGGAAACTACGTGAAATACTGAAAGGAAAAGAATATACGTTTAAGTGAGAAAAATATTAATTTTTCTTCCTGTCTAATGAATCCTGTTCTACCTTCCCAGTTTTTAGATGTTAACAGTATACCATTTAGCAACATTGACTTGGCCTGCACTCTTTGTCAAGAAACATGCTGGGGACCAGGAACAGAAAGATGAGTAAGATATAAACCTTACAGTCAAGGAGCTTACCATCTGGTCACTAAAATACATGACAGGTGCCACTCTTAAGTGTATGAACAAAGTGCCATAAGGGTAGAGGAAGAAGTGATTGATTTTGAAAGGGAAGGCTTCACAAGATGATATTTAAACTGAGTCTTAAAGGACGAAAAGTTTTGAAGGACAAAGAGGATATTCTAGGCAGAAGGAGCAACATGAGGTAGTGTGAGAACAGATGGATCAGATGACCATGAGGCAGCTCACTTTATCTAGACCCAGGGCTGCAAACTCAAACACCTACTGTGCCCAGAGCAGGTAAAAACACACATGATTGAAGAGGACTGGCTATGAGTGCATATGCACACAGGACCTGCAGGGCACAAGCTGTGCAGACGTGGAGAGCACTGCTCCAGAGGAAAGGGGCAGAAGTCATTCAGCACTAACAGAATGTTACACTGAAGGCTTTGGGGCCAGTTTTATCAGAACTCTTGACTTGTCAAGAATAACTAGAAATCTAAATTTCTATGTGATATCATCCAGTTTTTAAATGCTGATTCAATGAAACAAGTCTGGGGATCAAATTCAGCCTGTAGGCTGCCAATTTATAACTCTAGACTTTAAGTTGCATTACTAAAAATAACAGGAAGTGCTGAATTTGAACTTCATATAATGATTTGAGACTCCACAGCAGAAAGATCTGAACGTAAAGCTAAAGATTTTAGAATACATTCTGTCAACAATGAGAAGCTACTTCATGCTTTTAAGCAGACAAATGGTATTACTGGTCTATGTTTTAGAGAATTTTAAAGAATGGGTGTAAAACAAGAGTTGGCAAACCTTTTCTGTAAATGGTCAGACAGTGAACATTTTGGGCTTTGCCAGCTAAACGGTCACTGTTGCAAATACTCAGTTCTGCTGGTGGTGCAGAAGTCGTCACAGACAATACACAGATGAATGACTACAGCTGTGTTCCAACAAAACTCTACTTACAAAAACAGATGGAGAGCTGGAAGTGGCCCATAGGCCACAGTTTGCAGACCCCTGGTCTGGAAGACAGACCAAAGGATGTCTGAGAAAATGAATGGGCAAAAGTAATCATTAATTTTTGCTTGAGCATAAAAGATTTTCGTTTTGTTTTGTTTAACAGAAAGCTCTGTTGGGTACCGATAAGACTATGGTATCCTATAATGCATCCACTATGCAAAGGAGGCAAAAAAAAAAAAGTTTTGTCAAGCTAAGAATTGTACTACCATTTAAAATAAAAGTAGGAAAATGCTTAGCAATCGTTGTCAACCATGTCATAAA